AGGAAGAGCCACACTCAAGGGGCCAAAGAGCCGCAGTTTGCCGACCACGGGGCTAGGGTTTATTTTCTTTTCCATTACAGTTCACATTCAGTATTATTTTGTATTAGTTTCAGTGTATTAAGCATTTTCATTGCTTGTGATACTTGACTCTCTGCCTCTGTGAGCTTTACAAACTTAAACATTATAAATGTAGGATGTTTTGGAAAATAAAACGGAACAGATGTTTTTTTATTATGCTACATTATGCAGCCATGTGGAGGTGGTCTCATGACTGATGTCACTGTTCTAAGAAGTACTTTACAGCTTTATGTGTGTAAAGTATAAATACTGTATTTTTGTAAATCTAAGAGTTGGTTCTAGAACTAGGTGGTCAGTGTATGTACTTTTCATTTTGAAAAGCTCACTTATAGTTTGGGGGCTATCTTATTAGGTGAGGAGGGGGAGCCCACTATAATAGTTGTCTCAATCCTTTTCCTGTTTTAAAATACTTGTACATCATAACTTAGTTTACTTTTTAAAAAAAATATATTTTATTGATTTTTTTTTTTTACAGAGAGGAAGGGAGAGGGATAGAGAGTTAGAAACATTGATGAGAGAGAAACATCCATCAGCTGAAACACTCCCCACTGGGGATGTGCCCGCAACCAAGGTACATGCCCTGACTGGAATCGAACCTGGGACCCTTGAGTCTGCAGGCTGACACTCCATCCACTAAGCCAAACCAGTTAGGGCTTAGTTTACTTTTATTGACTGATTTTCCACAGAGGTTGTTTGAGGAAAGGCACTTGTATAACTTGTAAAAGCCCAGTTGAGTCTGTTATGTCTGTATGTTAGATGGTGGTGATTATAGTATTTCATAGGGTTTTTGAGGGAATTTAAATGAGAGAGCAAACAGCACAAAAAAGTTCAATAAAGCCCTGGCTGGTTTGCTCAGTGGTTAGAGCAGGGGGTGGGCAAACTTTTTGACTCGAGGGCCACAATGGGTTCTTAAACTGGACCGGAGGGCCGGAACAAAAGCATGGATGGAGTGTTTGTGTGAACTGATATAAATTCAAAGTAAACATCATTACATAAAAGGGTACGGTCTTTTTTTTTTTTTTTTCAGTTTTATTCATTTCAAACGGGCCGGATTCGGCCCGCGGGCTGTATTTTGCCCACGGCTGGGCACGGCTGGGTTAGGGTGTCAGCCTGTGAATCAAAGGGTCGAAGGTTCGATTCCTGGTCAAAGGCACATACCTGGGTTGCAGGTTCGATCCCTACCCTGGTTGGTGTGCATGAGGAAGAAAACCAATCGATGTTTCTATCTGACATCAATGTTTGTCTCTATCACTATCTCTTTCTCCCCTCTACTCTCTAAAAATCAATGGAAAAAAATACCCTTGGGTGAGGATTAACAAAACAAAACAAAAAACCCAAAATATTAATTAATATAAATTAATATTTGCCAAACGAGGTAAGAGCATACAATGGAGTAAAGATAGTCTCTTCAATAAATGGTGTTGGGAATTTTGGACAGGTACATGCAAAAAAATGAAACTAGACTACCAACTTACACCATACCCAAGAATAAACTCAAAAATACTTAAATGTAAGTTGTGAAACCATAAAAATCCTAGAGGAAACCATAGACACAAAATTTCAGACTTCTCTTGGAACAGTATTTTTGCTGATATATCTCCTAGGGTAAAGGAAACAAAGGAGAAAATAAATAAATAGGACTATTTCAAAATAAGCTGCTGCACAGCAAAAGAAACCATCAACAAAATGAAAATGAGCCCACTCCATGGGAAAACATATTTGCCAATGATACATCTGATAAGAGGTTAATATCCAAAGTATATAAGGAACTCATTCCACTTAAAAAAAGGAAGACATACAATCCAATTAAAAAATGGGCAAAGGATCTAAATACACACTTCTCCAAAGTGCACATACAGAAGACCAATAGACATGAAAAAATGCTCAAAGTCACTAATCATCCAAGAGATGCAAATTAAAATAACAATGAGGTATCACCTCACACCTGCCAGAATGGCTGTCATCAAAAAATCAATAAATGACAAGTGTTGGCAAGGATGTGGAGAAAACGGAACCCTAGTACACTGCTGGTGGGAATGCAGACTGGTTTAGCCATTATGGAAAACAGTATGAAGTATCCTTAAAAAAATTAAATATGGAACTGCCATTTGACCCAGTGATCCCACATCTAGGAATATACCCTAAGAAACCCGAAACACCAATCAGAAAGAATGTATGTACCCCTATGTTCATACCAGCACAATTTACAATAGCCAGGATCTGGACATAGCCCAAGTGTCTATCAGTAGATGAATGGATAAAAAAAGCTATGGTACATTTATACCATCAAATACTATGCAGCAGTAAAAAAACAAGTATCTCACCCTTTGAGACAGCATGGAAGGACCTGGAGAGTATCATGCTAAGTGAGATCAGTCAGAGAAAGACAAGTATCACATGATCTCACTCATATGTGGAATCTAATGAACAAAGTAAACTGGATCCAGAGACATGGAGACATGGAACAGACTGGAATCTCATAGAGAAGGCGGGGAAGGGTGGGTGGGTGGGGAGATATTAACCCATGGACACAGACTAATAGTGTGGTGAAAGCCTGGGGTCGGGGACAGAGCGGGCTAGAAAGGGTCAATGGGGAGAAAAGTAGACAACAAATGTAATACTTTCAACAGTAAAGATAAGTAAATTAAAAAAAACCATTAGTTGGAGTTAGTGTTACCCCCACATCCAGCATTGTATCGATTTGTGAGAGCTTGGTATCCCTGTGTGGCCATAATAGATACTCAGTATATGCTGATAAAATTTAGTTGATACTCAGTACATGTTAGGGTATGAAGACTATCACTTGTTGAATATCTGATAGGTGTCAGAAGTTATTTCTCACTAAACAAAGGTTTTGTTTTGTTCCTTCATTTAATCTGTTCAATAATCCTGTCAGGTGGATGGCACTAATTTCCATAATTACAATGAAATAATTGCATCTTACAACTTGTTAGTGACAAGTCATGATTTAAAGTCAGGAGTCAGCTCAGTTCTAGCCTCTTTTACTACTACATGCCACCTCTTCCATCTCTAGGGTGGCATATGAACTTTATTCACTTAGCATTGCCTGGCTTCATCTCAAAATTGAATATTTTTTCCTTACCCACAAATTTTGCTTTGAAATAGGAAAATGAAAAAAGGTTAATCTCTATTATGTCTGAAGTACAATCCTGTTCCCTTCTAAACCTAGTTGAAATGATTTCTGCTCCCACCCCCCCATTTCTGTAACATAGGTTGCGGGGGCGGGGGGGGGGGTCATCTTAAACCTTTCACTCTTTATTCCTAATCCTGTTAGATGTTCCATCCATTATCTGTGCACTTAACCCCACCTCTAGTTTTATTGCTCAGTTATCATAATGGCATGCTTTTTTGTAGTAGTGATGCTGGTCTTTCTGCCTGTAGTGTCTTTCCCTCTCTATTTCTTCTATATACTCCCACAGAATGATCTTCCTAAGTGATACTCGATATGTCATTTCTATCAGAAAGCCTTAATTGCCCTTTACCTTTCAGGGGCAGGAAATTGCTTTCTTCAACACTTGTTGTTATTAAAGGTTCGGTCCAATACCTTTTCTTGACTCTTATAGGTGTTAATATTTTCTGGCAGTTATTTTATTATTTTTTATTATAATTTATTGTGGTTATATTGGCTAATAAAATTATATAGGTTTCAGGGGTACAAGTCTATAATACATCATCTGTATATTATATTGTGTTCACCACCCCAAGTCAAGATTCTTTCCATCACCATTTAACCTCCCTTTTACCTTTTACCTAGCCCCTCTCCCCCGGCAGTGACTTTAAAATGAGTTTTTGCTGGTTTTGAATTAATTATTTTTTAAGTAAATATATTTTTATTGATTTCAGAGAGGGAGGGAGAAAGATAGAAACATCAATGATGAGAGAGAATCATTGATCAGCTGCCTCCTGTACCTCCCCACACTGGGGATTGAGCCTGCAACCTGGGCAAGTGCCCTGACTGGAAATTGAACCGTGACCTCCTGGTTCATAAGTCTATGCTCAACCACTGAGCCACACCAGCCAGACTAATTATTCTTTACTGGAGGCCCGATGCACGAAATTTGGGCAAGAGTAGGACTTCCCTCCCCGGCTGCTGGCACCGGCTTCCCTCGCAGCCCTGGCTTTGTCTGGAAGGACATCCGCATATTACGCTTTTATTATTATATATTACTTTGTGTGTAGGATTTATGTGACTTCAAATTCTTTGATGTCTTTTTGTATTTTGCAGATTCTTTAAAGCAGGGATACTTTCATATTAGAGTATCATTTAGGTTTATCAGATATAAAAAATAAGTTTAAGCATAGTTGGGGAACAGTATATATCTCTTCTCGTGATGTCATAGGTAGATTTGTGGTGTGGAAATGGGATTGTGCTTTACCTTAGAATTTTAACATAGGGCAAAACTGGCATCATTGTAATTGCCTTTCTGAGATGTTGTAAAGGCCTATATATAGTTGGAGGATTTTATCTGAAGTACTTTATTTTATTAATCAAATATAATTTATTTGAGGATCTTGATGATAATGTGATTATAAAATCTTAAAAAGGGCTAATCATAGCCTTCTTAGTCTAGAGCTACTAAGGGAATTTAGAGAAGTAATGTGTATTTGTTGAGAAAAATTTTATAAATTTGAACTGTGCTGGGCAACAGATTGCTTTTATAATATCTGTGAAGGAAAAGTTTATGAAGCAAAATAAGAGAATAAGCATGCTTTTATGAATATATTTTAGTTACTTATTTTTTTAAAGTAGGTTAAACAGAGACTTCTAATTGGAATACCTGAGTTAGTCATTGATCTGAATGATTGAGATTTTTGTTGTGTTTTGAACTTTTGTTTTTAAAATGTAAGTAAAATGGATATATAGGTCTTAATTTTAAATAGAACTTATTTCTATTGAACAGCACCTGTGGAACCTTCTCAAGAGGAACAGTCGTTGTGTGAAGGTAATTTTCTATGATGTGACACACTATTTGATTTGAGAAAACAAGTTGTGTAATGGAGTGTAAAGCTAGATATTGCTTTGTAAATATATATTATATCTCAATTTCTTGTCTAGGTTCAAATTCAGCTGTTAGCATGGAACTTTCAGAACCTGTTGGTAAGAAAATTTCTGACCATATTAATACAGTAATAAGAAACTCTTTCACTCTCAAGATTTAAGGTGCAAATGTAAGTGTTATGATTATTATAATGCCTTCATTTAAAACTGACATTGAGTCTTTGCTATGAAGATTTAGAAAGCAGAACTAATTAGACATTAATACTGCTCTGACAAATTTAGTGTTGCAAATACAAAAGAATTGAATGGAGGAATGTTAAAGTCAGTTTAAATACTTGTATCTGTTCCATGTAGTTCGTGAAAATTTTTCTTCCCTCTTGTAACTTATTACTCTTAAGGGTTTCATATTCCCAAGGTAATTAATAAACTTGAAGCCAAAGTTATTAATTGCAGAGGAAAAAGAAAAGATTTTCTAAATTCTTTCACACTTTCCTATGTTCTGATTTAAAAATTTCTCTTTTTCTACTGTCAGGACATCTTAACACTGGAATAACAGGGCTGTTAAGAATGTTAAGATGTCCTGCTTACATGTTGTTTGTCCTAATGAAAATGAAGCTTTGGTAAAATAGCAACTCTCATAGTATCTGAGTCAAGCTGTGATGCCAGCAGTGTGGCCAGCTTGAAAGCTATTATCTATTTCTGTTGTGAAAGATTTTCTTGCTTATATATCACTAGACATTAGAAATGGAGCTAAATATGCCAAGTTCCATTTATTGAAAGCACCTCTGTTTTAAAGTACCTGTATATGTTACAAATCTTTTTTAGAATACTAAATTAAAATGCCTTCTTTCAGTAGAAAATGGAGAGACAGAAATGTCCCCAGAAGAATCATGGGAGCACAAAGAAGAAATAAGTGAAGCAGAGCCAGGGGGTGGTTCCTTAGGAGATGGAAAACCCCCAGAAGAAAATGCCCAAGAAATGATGGAGGAAGAAGAGGAAATACCAAAACCCAAATCTGTGGTTGCACCACCAGGTGCTCCTAAAAAAGAACATGTAAATGTAGTATTCATTGGGCATGTAGGTAAGTTACTCATAGCTATGATTGGGTACATAAAACAGAACATCTTTTTAATAACTTGGAGATGTTTCATGAAACTTAACTGTGATTTGCTAGATTATTTAGCTGGCAGAAAGTTGTCAACAAATACTTTGTTCTCAAAGGGTGGGCAGATGAACAATTCTGTAATGGCATGGAAGCTGGGAGAAAAGCTTCAGTATATTTTTATATAATGTGTAAATTAGCCTTTGATGATAGCTGAGCATATTATGATATCTTACTATCCTAGGGAACTTAATTTATTAATTTTATTGTATTAACTTTACTGTGTAGTTTAATGTTGTGGTATATAAGAATTAGTAATAGGTTGCTGATTTAGCAACCCCCTACCCCCACCCATTTGATTTACTTAGATATTTAATCATCTACCTAGCCCCAAAATTCTGAGGAGAAAAATAATACAATTATGTGTCCTTTTCCCCCCCCCCCTTTATCTCTGCTTTCCCCTGAATATGATGATACACCCTTTTACTTTTTTAGTAGCAAGAACTCCTTTGAAATTTGTATAGGAACACTAACCTCTACCAAAAGTGAAAGGCAGACTACTTAAATGTAGTCTCAGCTCTTGGCTATTTTTGCTGTTCTCTAAGGCTCCCTTAGGGTTTTTTTTTCTTTTTTTTCTAAAGTAGGTTGTTGTTGTTTTTAAAAAAAACACCATATTTTTATTGATTTCAGAGGTGAAGGGAGAAAGAGAGGCAGAAACATCAATGATGAGAATCATTGATCAGCTGCTTCCTGTACACCCCATACTGGGGATTGAGCCCACAACCTGGGCATACGTTCTGACGAGGAATCAAACTCTGACCTCCTGATTCATAGGTACCAATAGATGCTCAACCACTAAGCCATGCTGGCAGGGCTACCCTTACGTAATTTATATTCATTTGCTGCCTGGCTCTTAGCTGAAGGTCAAGGAATACTCTGTTTAAAAATTCTTTCTTTTGTTCTTTATCAGTAAAGTAGTTCTAAATCATTATCAAGCTGTTAGGGGGACTTAGTAGCTCCTTTTTCCAAGGGAGAAGGTAACTAACCAATAGATTCCTACAGTTTCTGTTGCTTTCGCATGATTTAATTATATAGTATATGCTAAACCATATTTTCATAGTTCTGTTATATGTATGTACTGGTTGGCTTTTTAAAATTTTTTTTATACCTATGCTTTGCATATTGTTGATGTTATTACTTTTAGATGCTGGCAAGTCAACCATTGGAGGACAAATAATGTAAGTATATTTTTTCTTATATAATAGAATTAACTCAATTGAATGAATTTTGGGAATTGTCAACTTTCATAAAATAATACAAAGGAGATTACCCCAAGTTAAGAAAAATCTATATATATAAAGAGCCAGGGGCTGTCACATCTGAAATAGCCAAATGGATGACCAAATGACTGAGCAGCAAGCTGTGTGGGGTGACCAGCCTGGCCGAGGAATGTATATTTTTTGGTTATGGGCTGTTATGGGCAATGAGGGGTGACCAGACTGGCAGGGGTCACAGTTGGTGGCAACCAGGTTGGCAGGGGGGTGCCGTGAAGGGCGATCAAGCCAGCTGGGGGAAGGTTGGGCGACCAGGCTGGTGGGGGGGGGCAGTTAGGGGCAACCATGCCAGCAGAGAGGGGCAGTTGAGGGTGACCAGCCTGGCAGAGGTGGGCAGTGAGGGGAGACCAGACTGGAAGAGGGGGCAGTTGGGGGCAACCAGGCCAGTTGGGGGTCAGTTGCGGGCAACCAGGCTGGCAGGGGGGCAGTTGTGGGCAATCAGGCAGTCAGGCAGATGAGCAGTAAGGAGCCAGAGGTTCTGGATTATGAAAGGGATATCCAACTGCCGGTTTAGGCTCGATCCCCAGGATTGGGCCTAAACCGGCAGTCAGACATCCCCTGAGGGGTCCCAGATTGGAGAGGGTGCAGGTTGGCCTGAGGGGGGGGGGACCCCCCCCACACACACAAATTTTGTGCACTGGGCCTCTAGTTAATAATAAAATGACATTACATGTAGAGAAGACTGATATTAAGGAGTAATTTTTGCAATGTGATCATTAGTATTTTCTGATGGATTAATAGGCCATCACTAAAATTCTTTCATGATCACTGTCAGACTCTGATGTAACATGAATTAAATATACTTCTAAAAATTACCTTTTACATTTTTTATAAAAACTAATAAAGAACCAACCCTCACTTATAGGAAATTTTACTCTTTGAATATAATTTTCTTGGAAATAATAAAAACCAGCTCTTGAACCTGGTGCATAAAGAGAACTGGCGTTTCCTCATCATCAACTCCTTAAGTTTATGTGGATTTAATCAAATATAAGGTAGTCTGGCTAACATGCTAAGATAATTTTTTATTATATTATGTAAGTTATTAAGGTATGAAGACACCATGGTTGGCCTTCAGGAACATATTCTAGTATTGAAAAATCTTTTAAATTCACAGGTCCTAAATATTTAATCCCTCTTAGATTAAACCCATTTTTAAAAACTGTCATCAGAGGATCTAGGTGTCATCATCTTGTCTTGTTAAGTAATCTTAATTGATAATCTTTCCAGTTCTCACTTTTGAAGATTCCCCAACAGACTCTAAAACAAGGATCCTCTTCTAAGGCTCTACGGATAATAGTTTTGGGCCCATTTGATGATTTTTTAGAAGAATGTATATTTTTTGGTTATGGGCTGTAATTTTCATTGGTATTTCACTGGGATTCTATACTTAAATGGTTAGAAACATGCACTACAGATGACTGCACAGAGAACCCCATAGAGATGAAAGCTAGAACTGGAATTCCTAAGGAAGTATTTTAAAACTAGAGGCCCGGTGCACGAAATTCATGCACAGGTGGGGGGGGGGCTAGGTCTGACCGGCGATCAGGGCCTATCGGGGCTGGGTTGGCTGGGGCCTGTTGGCTGGGAAAAGGGACCGGGGGAGGGACTGTGGGAGGTTGGCTGGCCATGGGAGGTTGGCTGTGGGAGTGCACTGACCACCAGGGGGCAGCTCCTGCATTGAGTGTCTGCCCCCTGGTGGTCAGTGCGCATCATAGTGACTGATCAACCAGTCCTTCTGGTCATCCGGTTGTAATGGTGGCTTAGTCTTTTATATACATAGATAATCTCACTTTGAGAAATAATATATTTAAAGTATTAACCCC